CTGGAGAGGCATGCCAGACAGAGCAAATAGACGTCTATTTAGGGACAGAGTTTATGTGCATAAGCTGTGATTATTTTTTAATTTTTTGCAGGAGCAAAGGAAAGCACAGAAGTGAGTGCAGAATTCAACTTCCTGAAACTTTCAGCTTAAAATTTTTTTTTTGACACCAGGTTTATAGCCCCCTGGAAAGCATAGTTAGTATCTATTATTTGATGTGCTTAACACGGAATGGCCGCTCCCCACATTAAATGGGGGGCGCCCTTTGTGCGGTCGCTGGACCCTATGTGGCACCATTAGCACAGGCTTGGCCTCGCCTTCCCCAGGTGGAATACCTGGAGGTCTCCGCCTACCTCAGCCAGCTGCCCAATCCCGCCTGGGGAGGTGTTGCCAAGGTGATCAGTCCAGGTAGGGGGAGGGACCAACTGCCCACACAATAGGGGGAGGATCTTGGGTGGTCCCTCCCCCTACCTGGCCTGATCACCTTGGCAACGCCTCCCCAGGCGGGATTGGGCAACTGGCTGAGATAGGCGGAGACCTCCAGGTATCCCACCTGGGGAAGGCGAGGCCAAGCCTGTGCTAATGGTACCGCATAACGTCCAGGGGGCTGCATGCGAGCACACAAAGGGTGCCCCCCATTTAATGTGGGGAGCGGTCATTGGGCTGGATTCTCAGAATCTAGAAGACGATGTCACGGTCTGGGCCCAAACCCCTTGCAATACCTCTCTCTGTCCATTGGAACCAGAATAAATGATGCCCAATAATAACACTGCAGAATTAAATCCACGGGATGGGAACGTGAGGCACAGTTGCTAATTTGCATAATTTATGCAGCTCACAGAACCCGGCTGGCAGGGTTATAGATTGCCTAAGTGCAGAATTTTCACTTTCCAAGCGTCAGTTTCTCACAGCCTGCCGCTGCTTTATCGGAGACGTCGGCAAGACCGGTTGCCAAATGCTCATCTGAAGCGGAGGTTGTGTAAAGGGATCTTCTTTACATATCTGGGTTTCTCTTTCTGCACCCTTGCTGCGGATTATCTGATGGTGCTGACAGGCAAATCCGTTTCCCACCCCTTTTGTTAAGGAAGAAAGGCCTCCGAAAGCCTGCAGAAGATTTGACAGCCCCAACCAATTGATCTTTCTGCTGACAAGATTTCATATCTTTTAATAAATGTCTCCATGGCAGCAATGAAAGAGATGATGCCACTCTCCGGAGAGCCCTGCGTGCAGTTGTGCGGGGGAAACTCTCCTTCCCCTAAAGAGATGCAGCTATGGTGTGTCTCTCTCTGTGTGGGGGGAACAGAAACAGCCCCCCACAACTCGTTGGATCAGCACCGTTAAGTCATCAGCTCCAGAATCCAACAGCATCACACATGCGCTGCCTGGGCGCCTAACTCAAATCACAGCATCTTTTCAGAACATCTCTTTTGGGTCCCCTGCAGCCCTGCGGTATTAGATCTCTAAAGTTGAATTTCGTAGAGGAAGAGACGGCTGAGGTGGTCAAGCCAGGAATCTTTGTGAGAGACAATGGGCCAAGTTCAAGGCATTCCTGCTACTATTCAAAGCTCTCAGCCACTTGAGGCCAGTTTGCCATAGAGAACACCTTTCCCCTGCAATGAAGCCCCACAGCCACTTTGGTCAGCGGAATTGGAAATATCACAGAGGCCACAAAAGACCCGTTCCACATTCTCAATCTTTTACCGTGGCAGCACCTACCCTTTGGAACTCCCTGCTGCTTGATATTAGGCAGCTGCCTTCACTGTACTCTTTTTAAAATGACTCTTATTATGTTGGAAGCTTCCTTGTGGCTGGGGCAATCCAGTCACATAGGCGAGGTATAAGTAATAAATTATTACAGCGGAACCTCGGTTGTCGGACATAATCTGTTCTGGAAAACTGTTTGACATCCGAAAGATTCGACAACCGAGCCACAATTGCCGGTTGGCAAATTCCTTTTAAAAAGTGGAGAAACGGTTGAAAATGGAAGCATTCACTTCTGGGTTGTCGGCGTTTGGGTTCTGAATTGTTCGGCTTCTGAAGCATTCGACAACTGAGGTTCCACTGTATTATTATTATTCTTTTCGGTGCCTGCTCATTTTTGTGCGTGTGTTTAGACAAGCCAATTCAGAGGTTTAGAAAGTTGGTGTTTTTAGCCTGCAATTTTGTAACTTTTCTCATGCCTTAAATTACTGCACATTTTTCTTAGCCTTACCATTTTGGTAAACCACTTTGAGGGTTTTCGTTTTTGTTTTCCAATCAAGCACTGTATAAAATTTTATAAAATAAATAAATGAAACAAGGCAGCGGCCCTGTCCAAATCTGTTCAGCTTCTCTTGGCACAACTGCAGAATTGGCCGAGTGCAGGTGCGTTGCCATAAAATGTTTTCTCCACCCCATGTTGGCGGTGATGACTGTCGGTTGTAGTAGAGCAATTAGGCCAGGGGTCTGTCATGTTTTCTCCCCTGTTGAGCTGCAACTGGGAGACACAGAGACTTGGCTTGCTCTTTGTGCAGAAACCGACACTATCGCTTGGGGGGCTTTTCCTTAGGAACCCAGTGAAGTAGTAAGATCTCTTGTCAGTTAATGCTGCAAGCCCTTCTAATCTGATGCTCGGTCTGTACAGATATGTGCAAATAACACTATCTATATCACCAAAACTGGGGACACGGGTGGTGCTGTAGGTTAAACCACAGAGCCTAGGACTTGCCGATCAGAAGGTCGGTGGATCGAATCCCCTCGACGGGGTGAGCTCCCGTTGCTTGGTCTCTGCTCCTGCCCACCTAGCAGTTCAAAAGCACGTCAAAGTGCAAGTAGATAAATACCATATTTTTTGCTCTATAAGACTCACTTTTACCCTCCTAAAAAGTAAGGGGAAATGTGTATGCGTCTTACGGAGCGAATGCAGGCTGCACAGCTATCCCAGAAGCCAGAACAGCAAGAGGGATTGCTGCTTTCACTGCACAGCGATCCATCTTCTGTTCTGGCTTCTGGGATTCAGAATATTTTTTTTCTTGTTTTCCTCCTCCAAAAACTAGGTGCGTCTTAGGATCTGGTGCATCTTATAGAGTGAAAAATATGGTAGGTACCGCTCCGGCGGGAAGGTAAACGGCATTTCTGTGCGCTGCTCTGGTTTGCCAGAAGCAGCTTAGTCATGCTGGCCACATGACCCGGAAGCTGTACGCCGGCTCCCTCGGCCAGTAAAGCGAGATGAGCGCCACAACCCCAGAGTCGGTCACGACTGGACCAATGGTCAGGGGTCCCTTTACTTTTATCTATATCGCCAAAACACCACCAAGGAAGCTCAAACCTAAGGTGCTTGCTTGCACTCCTAAAATTTCTCCCAGCTCGCAGATTGGGGGCCCTTCACAATCTGGAGGCTGTATAGAAACATGAGAATATTGATGGTCATTTATCCTTACTGGACTGGGACATAGACAAGCGCGCACCCTCAACTCCGGAAAGAGCAGGGAAACACAGAAAGCTCTGGAGAATTTTCCAGCCCTGCTCAACAGAACTGCAATATTCTCTACACTTTGGGAATCTGCAGAAAGACAATTTTGCCCTCGGCAGTCAGGGCCCACCTTGGAGGTATAAACCGCGTTGAGCTTTCCCCCCTACAATCAAGTGGCATATACATTTTATGAAACAAGCAATGAAACTGCAGAAGGATGGAAGGAACGCAGATGGAAGCTTTACAGATGCTTTGAAATTGGCCCAAGGGGTGATGACATTTGCAGGTGAAGGAAGAAAAGAAAGCTTGGCTTTAAAAGAAGCATGGGCAAATACATCGAGGAATAGGTCTAACAACAGAATGGAGCATCTATGAGCAGGAGCAGTCTACCTCTGAATACCAGTTAATGGGAGAAGCAACAGCGAGAAATGGCTGCTACCCTCATGCCCTGCTCGTGGGCTCCTCTGCGGCCATGATCCTGATCAGTAGACAGTTTTCATTTTTTCTGGGACAGCAGCTGATGCCATGGACCCGAGATGCGCACTGACCACATCCCTCTGGCATTTCCCATCTCCTGCACTGGCTGCGTAAACTTCCACCCCACCATGGATCTGGTCTGACACTCTTCCCCTTAGTAGCCGACTGTGGCATTCAGGGAACTTTCTTCTACCCATGCTCAAAATCCAAGCTAGTTACATAGGACTTGGCCAAAGTTCAATGCAGCTAAATATCCTGACTGGCAGTGACTTTGCAGTCTCAGGCAGGGGTCTCTTCCAGATCTACATTAACCACTACACCACACTGAGAGCCAGTGTGGTGTAGTGGTTAAGAGCGGTAGTCTCGTAATCTGGGGAACCGGGTTCGCTTCCCTGCTCCTCCACATGCAGCTGCTGGGTGACCTGGGGCCAGTCACACTTCTCTGAAGTCTCTCAGCCCCACTCACCTCACAGAGTGTTTGTTGTGGGGGAGGAAGGGAAAGGAGATTGTTAGCCGCTTTGAGACTCCTTAAAGGGAGTGAAAGGCGGGATATCAAATCCAAACTCTTCTTCTTCTTCTTCTACATTGTGGCCTTCCGCATGCAAGCAAGATGCTCTACTGCCAACCTATGATCTTTGCCCATAAACTGCTCCCTCTTCCTCCTCATCATCTGGTGTTGGTGCTTCAGCCATGTGCTCCCACTGGCCAATGCTTGAGCCAGCCCTGGATCTTAGAAGCAGATCCCATGCCGCAAATGGCAGAGGCGTACGTTTCACTTCGTTCGGATAGCGCCACGTGCTAAATGACATGACGCAGAAAGCTTCACGCTCAAAGTTTCCCTCTTCCCGCGTAGACTGACACCACAAAGCTTCAACATTTGACAGTTCTACAAAAGCGCATTAGAGCAGCGACAGCACCAACAAGCCGGGCAGCCGCAGCCGCCCGAAATGGGCTTCGATCTTCGCAAAACACAAAGAGGCGTCTCCACTTTGCAAACCACGTTAAAACAAACCCACGCGGCGGCAGAGGCGCTTCGTGCACCAGCTGCGCCAGATTTTCCCCGGGTTCATTTTTGCTCAGCAGAAGGTGACATTGCAAAGGGAGGTGTGAAGTTTGCTCGGAAAGAGCGAAAGATAAATCGCTGCCTTTTGCGGCGACTCTGCCATCTGTCCCCATCTCCCTCCAAAGCACGGTCAGTGCTGGGCAGTCTCCTTCAAAGCGGCAGCAGGTACTTTTAGGGGTGGGGGAATCTGTCAATTTTGATTTCTTCCAGTTTCTCGGTGTTCCAATCTTAATCAGTTCTCCACATTTTGCAGCAACTTGCAATTTCTTTTTCTTTTTAAAAAAGTGCTTATGAAAATCCATCACATTTTCATGCAAATTTCTCCTAATAAACACATATTTGTATGCAATTTCACAAACCGAAGACATTTTTCCACAGCATTTCCCCTGATTGTGCTATTTTCACTGATGTATGCATTTATATGCACATTTAACACAATTCCCTTTTTGGGGGGCACACATTACTTGTCTGGAAAAATCCATTGCAAAATTCGGGGATATGTGGATTTCAAAGTTCCTGTGCTGTTTTGGAAAAATGTGAATCTGGGAAATTTGAATTTGAATGCAATCTGAACCAAATTCCTCCCCCACTCCTTGCTACTATGCAGGTAGCAAGTGCATAGCATAGCCCAGGGGTCGGCAACATGTGGCCCATGGGCCGGATGCAGCCCATGAAGATCATTTTACTGGCCCACGAGCCGCTCCCTTGGCGAGTCCCCCACACGCTGCGCTAAACCAGTGCAGCACAGCATGGGGACTTGCCAAGTGACGCTGGAAACCGCATATGCGCATGCGCAGATACCGGAAACTGCATCTGCACATGCCCAGATGCCAAAAAACGCTTCTGTGTGGGTGTGATTTTCGGCATCTGGGCATGTGCAGACGCGATTTCTGACATCGTGCTGCGCCGGTCCAGCCCACGGAGGATCTCAGCGGGAGTGATCCGGCCCATGGCCGGTAAGCCTTGCCGACCCCTGGTATAGCCTCTCTGCGCAAAAATAGCCACCCCAGTTTTGCAGAAGGTGAACTGCTGTTGGGAAATGCCCCCCCCCAATACACTGTGGCTCAACTTCCACTTGCATGCAAATTTCTCATTGAGCGCACCATGAAGTCATAGCCTGTGTGTATAAACTTGCCATCATAGTGCAATCCCCATAGAAAAGGATGTTCGTATGCCCCCTTGCTTTTTAAGGGAAAACTGCTCGCACATCCAAGCCCTTTTCATAAATCTGGGTTCTTCTCCATGTATTTAGCAGATGTGGGCAGAGAGAGCAGAGCCTGTTGCCCCACACTGTACCCATTGAAGGCATGGAGGGCAACCCAAACCTCTGAGCAGGGCTTCAGCTGTGAGCCGTTGAGGGTGGAGCGATCGATTGAGGCACGCTGATGTGCTAAGCAGCTCTTCAAACTGAGCATACCATTTCCTGCACTATCCGTTCAATTAATGTTTATATTCCCCAAAGGCCTTTAGAACATCCTCACCCAGTAATACAAATGATCACATTAAGAAAAATTCATTTGCCTTCAAAGCATTGCAGAGATATTTTCTGCCTCCCACCCAGCTTTTTCTTAAAAGAACACAAAACAAGTTTTTGGCTCAAATTTACGTTATGACACCCAGAAGGTCAGGGGGCTTGATCCAGCTCCTGTTAGTCTGCAGTTCTCTACATGCTTCCCATTGAACTCAGTTAGACTTACTTCTGAATAGATAAGTGCAGAAGAAAGTAACATTGGAATCTGTGAGGTTTGCAGGTGCTAACTGGATCGTGGCCCCAACTATCTGATTTCTGGGTTAAGAATAAGAATAAGTTTTAAACAGGAAAGAAAACATATATCAAAAGTGCTCAGGTCCTGTTCAAAGGGTGCAAGGGTTAACACTGCAGAGATTGGGGGGGGGGGATAATTCCCAGCGAACATCACATCATCATCCACTTACAAACCTCTTTTTTCCTGCCCTCGCAGCACAGTGAGCTGTGAGACTGATGGGGTGGGGGACAGGGAAGAAAGGAAGGCCATGAACTAGTCAGGGATTTATGATAATAATGAAAGGGAGGGAGACCACACACCCATAGCTCAATTTTGACCAAAGTTCACAGGCAGAGAATCTCACAGTTATCATCATCATCATCATTCTTATTTTCTTAAAAAAAGAGAAAATAAATAGCGACGTCATTCCACTCAATAAATAAATAAACACATAGGTAAATAAATAAATAAACATCTTGCTCTCCTCGCCCTCCCCCAACAACCCTCCAAACCTAGAGATGAAATATCTCTTAGAAGACACTTTGGTCTCTGTTCCTCTGAGTCACACCTTTTAATCCTGCTCTTCCACCTTCCCTCCCAGTTATATGTCCTGGTAACATGAAATCGTGGCTTCCCAGGCGAATCGCTGCGCACCATGCGCAGTTCTTGACCGCTGTCCTCTGTTCACACATCCCTTGGAATGCGATCTTGGGGGCAACAAGAGGAAAAGGAGGGAAAGCTTCCCCCTCTTGGTAGCCACTCCATCCAGTCGAATGCCATTGCTTGGAGGACTTGCCGTAGGTGGATGCTGTCACAGTTGCCCCCCGCTTCCAAAAATGAAAGAATGTTCCAGCTAAATCCTGAGGGCACATCCCTGGATTAATCAGGGTGACCCGAACCTTAGATTGTTCCACTACCAGAGACTCTGCAGAAGGATGCATTAGAACGAGGGCAAGAAAGATAGTATCAGGCCAGAATTGGCTCTCGAGTCCTCCTCACATCCAATGGTTTCCTCTCTGACACTCTCTTTCAAAAAGGAAAAGAAGGCAAGAGGGGGCAGAAAGTAATGGAAATTGTAGTCATAGCAGCAGCAAACATCCTCGTGAGCTGACCTTCTCTGCCCTTGATGAATGAGGAGGAACCAAAATAAATAAATCAGTCCCCGAAACGACTCTCAGTTAAAGCAATCCCTCACTAAGAACAGAGCATAGCGACACATGCTGAGTAAATAACTTTGCTTTAAAATCTCTCTTCGTCCTTTTTTTAATTATTCTTTATAGAAATAAATACTGACTTTTCTTGAATTTAAGGTAACATTTGTTCAAGTTTCTGCACTGTGTCAAAGGCGACTGTTCAAGGTCATGGTTTATCGCCACTGCCAGAAAACTCTAGTGTTTAAAAAGTATCAAAATGTGGAATTTAGGAGGCTCGTGTTCACTTTCTCCTCCATCCTTGTTGCTTTTTGTTTCATTCCTTCTTATCGGATGATTATTTTTAATCTTTGCTGGTTTTTTAGGCATCCTTTTAGACTCTTCGGACCGTTAAGCTGGCCACACCAAACACTTTGCTCCCTTCCTCCTTCTGTCCCTTCAGTGTCACCTCCAGGGCCATGATGAAAAAAGAAACTTTGGCAAAATGGCTGCCTTCCTTGTAAACATGAGGGTGCCCTGCTCCTTGAAGACTGCATTTCTCAGAATGCAGTGCATCTCAAGGTGCACGTGGAGCAATGCATTCTGGGGCCTCCTTCCTGCAAAAGCTCTCCAGGATTTGTGACCTTTGTGCCCTCACGACAGGAGAACAAAAAAACCCCCAAAGGTTGTGCAAGTCTTTCGGAATCAGGATTAAAATAAAATAAAAATCACTACCTGTGAGAGTTGGCTGCTGGAAAAGGCAATAATTCTGTGAAGCAGAACTGGATTTTTGCAGATCCAATATCTCAGTGAGGGTTCCACGAACCCTCCTTTTCTCTGAATTCTCACTCTCCCCAGTGTTGCTATATGAATTCTCAGAGACTATTTATTGCCTGCCCAAACTGAGAGATCTTCTTAGGGCAATTTAACACTTCACATGGCACCAAACGTAGGTTTTCCACCCAATGTGTCACTTGGCCGGGAGCTGCAAGTAAATCTGTCAATTTTTTAAAGTCCTCATGAAAACCCAACAGCTTTTGAGTATGAATTTCTCCTAACACTAGAATCAGCAGCATCCCATACCTAAGATTTCAGGGCCTAAATGCCTAGAGTTGGCCTTTATAATGTCTTGGAGACGGAGGTTAATTGGGAGGGGTGAGTAGAGGAGGGCAGAACCTGCAGACTGTCTGTTCTCTAATTTGCAGCCAGCTCCTGCTGGGTTGAAGCTTGCAACCTGCATGTACACTCTTCTTAATTATTTTAAATATCTATATTAAAGGCACACTTACCACTTGGCCCTAAAAAGTCCTCTGCATCTTGTTCAGGCAACTACTCTCTCCTCTGTGTGGGTCCAGGGAGCGCCTTCCATGGGGCTCTGTCCAGGGTCCTGAAAGATTCTGATTCATGGCCCATTCCGACTTCCACTTGTCTCGTGCCTAGAAAGCATGGGTGCAAGTGGTTTTGCTCCACCGCCTTCCCCTGTGGAACACCCATTCCTTAGCAATAAATCTGGGCAACTGTCCATTGGAGAAAACCCGACTGACATTTGCTCCGATTCAGTGGCAAATGATAACACGGCCCTAAGAAGGATTAACCTTTTCACTTTGAATGGTGCATTGAAGAAGCCCAGATGCAGCCTAAACTAATTTGCAGTTTCTGCACCCTTCCTGCTCACCGAGGGTTCTGTGTTCAAGAACCCCCCAAATCAACATGGTGTCATCATCAAGTGTGCTTTGCACAATTTATTCTTGCCACAGAATTCTTGGTGCTTTTTGTGTGCAACATATGGTATAAGGATCCTCCCTCCTTTTTTTGAGGGGGGGGGGAGGAGACTGATTATCAATTTTCTCCCTCAGGTAATCCCTCTCAAATAATAGAAGCTTTAGAACCCACCATATATAGTCCTATCTGTCTTTTTCAAATAACTTATATTTGTAACTACAGTTAAGCCTGCAACTTACATTGCATTCTGGGCACTGTGCATAAATCCAAAATTGTGTATAATCAAAACACATGGGGTGCAATGGTGGATAGGATTGCCAAATACTTTTTTCCTGGATTCATGCTCCCTTTAAATTATTTAAATTTTTTTATTTTTTTTTGCAAAGTGCATAAAGTTGTATAAGTTGTGGGCTTACTGTACTGAACCAGGAGTCCAACAGCTACTTGATAAGGGTTGGCTCTGATAAGCGTCAGCTCTGAGATGCGGGTTGCCTTGTTTTTTTCTGGCATGGAGCTTGTGCCTTCATCAGCTGCACACCAGGCAGAAACCCAACAGGTCAGCCTCGCCCCCCCCCCAAGAATGGAGATGCTCTGATGGAATAAAAACAGCTTCGGATAATTCCAGCTGATGAAGGCACAGTGTAGCGACCCTTGGCTTAGACTAGAAAATGCTTCCCGTGAGTCCTCTCTCCAGGCCAGCCCTCGACTGCCTCTGGGGATTCAGCATAAATGCTCTGCAAGAAAGGATTTCCTCAGGTTGATCAAATGTTTTGGCCGTGAGCTTGTAAGCCAGGCTCCTCCTTGTAGGATCTGGAACCTGCACTTGCTAGCTGTGTCATTTTTGCTGCGGATCCATCGCCACAGCAGGATGCTGACTGCAAACTCCATCCTTCTGCTTCCCCAAGAAATCCAACTGAAGCAAAGGCATCTGCCTGAGAAATTCGGGCAGAACTAGTTCCTCTAATTTCTGGCAGCTATGTGCTCCCTAAATCTTGACATAAACGGCAGGGATTGGGGACTGGTTAATGTCGGGGGCCAGTTAATACCTGGAGGGCACTTGCAGATCTGGAAATCGTGGGGGGACGGGACTGGATCTCCCTGCCTCCTAGAAACGTCTCCTTTCCACTGTGCCAATTGCCAAACGATTAATCACTCGGCGAAGCCACCCGCCAGAAGAGGAAGGCGGCAGCTTCCCATGAATCAGGAAAAAGTTGGTGGCAAGAGATGAAAAGAGGATGTTGCAGGCAAAGATGCTTTATGGCCTGTGCAGGAGACAGAACAAGGGCCCTGGCTCAGCGGCCCAGGTCCTGGGTTCAGTCCTCAGCATCTCCTGGGAGGACTGGGAAAGACTCCCTGCCTGAAACCATCAGTCCGTATAGACAATACTGAGCTAGATGGACCAAGGGCCTGGCTCTGTTTAAGGCAACTTCCTATGTTCCTGGCTCCAAGATGGAAATTGGTGAGCGGGGAGAACATTCCAGGGTTCCTCTGCAAGGTACGAGATTTGTTTTCTTAGGCTTGTAGCGGTCTCTGGCCGCAGGGAAATTCGGCTTTGCCTTTTCTTTCATAAGAGAGAGGGGGAAAATCAAAATGAACAGGAATCCCTGCTTCTCCCCACAATAGGAACTGCCCCTCCCTCATTAAAAAACCAAGAGTAAGAGTGAGCGAGAGAAAGAGCCTGAAAGGAAAGAGATGAAATGAGGCTCCCAGGCGATGGAGTTTCAGACGGAAGGAACGACCAGTCGTTTCCACAAAGGAGGAGGGCGAATCGAGCCCCATTGATTTGTCACCCTTGGCCAAGAAGTTGTTGAAGGGCGAAAAGAAAGAGAGAGTCTCGACGGCAAAGGAAGGATCTGCAAAGAAGGGCCTTGCACAGCTGCCTCCACGACATGAAAGGAGGAGGAGGAGAAGGAAAAGGGGTTTTTCCCACTGGCAGTCTGGAGAAATTCCTTTGCCGGGCATTTTTGTGTGTGTGTTTTCATAGCACCATCATCTCAGCGATACAGCTGACCCTTCACCGCACGGAAAAGGAGCTCGTCGCGCCCAGTCCGGAAGGCCTGCTCAAAGATGTGTGCACTCGGCTGGGTGCTTCTGAAAGCGCCAGTCCAGAGAACTGAGGCTGGCAGGCAGGATGCTGGTGTTGGCGCCAGGATGTCTTTACTAACAGACGGGCAGGAGGTGTTAATCTGGGGTGCGCGTTGGTCTCTCCCCTTGCAAAGGTTAACAGCCAGCTTCCACCTTAATGTGTAAAATCTTTGAAAAGCCCGGCCTCTTCTTCAGGGCCTGGAAGAGATAGAGGAGAGAGAGACGGCAATAAATTTCAGGGGAAGTGGGAGGAAACAGGCTGCTCCAGTTGGGCCAGAGCTGCTGCTGCTGCTTCTTAATTCTTTTTAACAACACTTAAAATAAACAACAAAGAATAAAAAATAAAAAGGGAGAACGTGAAAGGATAAACTATGACCCTATAGGAAATAACAATTGCAATTCCATACATAAAGGTAAAGGGATCCCTGATCATTAGGTCCAGTCATGACTGACTCTGGGGTTGCGGTGCTCATCTCGCTTTATTGGCCGAGGGAGCCGGCGTACAGCTTCCGGGTCACGTGGCCAGCATGACTAAACTGCTTCTGGCGAACCAGAGCAGCGCACGGAAACGCCGTTTACCTTCCCGCTGGAGTGGTACCTATTTATCTACTTGCACTTTGAGGTGCTTTCGAACTGCTAGGTTGGCAGGAGCAGGGACCGAGCAACGGGAGCGCACCCCGCCGCGGGGATTTAAACTGCTGACCTTCTGATCGGCAAGTCCTAGGCTCTGTGGTCTAACCCACAGCACCACCCACATCCCTTACATACTAACCTAATATATAAATAGTGGCATTATCCAAATACATACCGCATTTTTCTGTGTACAGTGGTACCTCGGGTTAAGTACTTAATTCGTTCCGGAGGTCTGTTCTTAACCTGAAACTGTTCTTAACCTGAAGCACCACTTTAGTTAATGGGGCCTCCCGCTGCCACTGCGCTTCATCCTGAAGCAAATTCCTTATCCCGAGGTATTCTTTCTGGGTTAGCGGAGTCTGTAACCTGAAGCGTATGTAACCCGAGGTACCACTATATAAGACTAGGTTTTTTAACCAAAAAATTAGGTTTAAAATTGGGGCTCGTCTTATACACGGGTAGTGCTGAGGGGTGTTTTCTTAATTTGGAGTCCCCCAAAATAACGGGCGTCTTATACATGGGGGCATGTTATACACGGAAATATATGGTATATATATTTTTTTTACCTAAACGGGTTCCAAATTTCTTTATATTTCCCTCTGCAAACTCTACATCTATAAGCAATCCACTCATAAGTGGTAAGTGCAATCGTGTTTTCAATCCATTGATAAAAACAACAATATCAACAACAGCAACAACAACAACAATTTATTTATACCCCACCCATCTGGCTGGGCTTCCCCAGCCACTCTGGGCAGCTTCTAATCAAATATTTAAATACAATAATACATAAAACATGAAAAGCTTCCCTAAACAGGGCTGCCTTGATTAAATGGAGGCGTCAATTTATCTTTCCAATGCAACAATATCAGTCTTTTGGCCACAGTAAGCGTAGGAAGAATCCAGTTACGTTCCTCAGTTGTCAAATTCCACGTCGTAGGTATGTAGCTCAAAAGAATATTATCCTCTGGAAATTTTATTTTTTCCCCACACGGTCATATTCATATAATTCACTACTTTCTCCCAAAACGTAATAAGTATAGGTCATTGTAAAAACAGGTGTTTTAAAGGAATATTATCTTTATTACATCTCCAACAAGACAGTTCTTTTCTATGCAAACGTCATGGAGTTCCAATAAATTCTAGGTCAGATCCTTATGTCCGCAACCTAGGCGGGGGGGGGGGGCAAATTTGACAGGTGAGCGGGGGTGCCCACCTGTCAATCACCCTGTGCCATAGCAGTGTCAGGTGACATGGCGCTTTGACGCCCTGGCTACCGGGACTTCAAAGCGCAGAATGGGGGCTGTTTGAAAGCTCTTTTGCAAATGGGGAACTGGCACTGGCAGTTTAGGTAGACTCAATCTCTGTCCTCTTGTGCATCTACTAACATAACCTGTTATTATTATGATTTATTAAATTTGTATACCGCCCTTCAGCTCCAGATCTCAGGTAAGTACATTATATTGGAGCGACTTGTTGTTGTTGTTTAGTCGTTTAGTCATGTCCGACTCTTCATGACCCCCTGGACCATAGCACGCCAGGCACTCCTGTCTTCCACTGCCTCCCGCAGTTTGGTCAAGCTCATGTTGGTAGCTTCGAGAACACTGTCCCACCATCTCGTCCTCTGTCGTCCCCTTCTCCTTGTGCCCTCCATCTTTCCCAGCATCAGGGTCTTTTCCAGGGAGTCTTCTCTTCTCATGAGGAGGCCACAGTATTGGAGCCTCAGCTTCAGGATCTGTCCTTCCAGTGAGCACTCAGGGCTGATTTCCCTAAGAATGGATAGGTTTGATCTTCTTGCAGTCCGTGGGACTCTCAAGAGTCTCCTCCAGCACCAGAATTCAAAAGCATCAATTCTTCAGCGATCAGCCTTCTTCACCGTCCAGCTCTCACTTCCATACATCACTACTGGGAAAACCATAGCTTTATCTATACGGACCTTTGTTGGCAAGGTGATGTCTCTGCTTTTTAAGATGCTGTCTAGGTTTGTCATTGCTTTTCTTCCAAGAAGCAGGATCTTAGGTAAGTTCACATTATATTGGAGTGACTGGCTGGTGTTAAAAAAAATGGCCTTATGGGCCAAATCTGACCTGTAGGCCAGAGCTTCCCCACCCCTGATTTGTGTGAATGAGACTGGCCCTCTAATCTCTGTCTGCCTAAGTCAGTCCTCAGTTGCCTGCCTACTTACCTACAGCCTGTCATGGGGTGGCTCTTCTTGTCATTTATTCAGCATTGCCTGCACTGACTGGCAGTGGCGCTCCAGGTTTTGCCAGCTGAAGACTGAAAAAAATGCTTAAAAGTACTTCCCCCCAAAAAACCCAGAGTCCTTTCTGTTGGGGATAATCCACTCGGAAATTCCCAAGTGTCAAAAAAGGTTATTTATGTATGCCACTACTGTGGCCCGTGTTTTGTTAGCCTCCAAATGGAAAACGGGCAAGGTCCCAACCAAAGAAGAATGGCAGCTTAAGATGATGGAATATGCACAGCTTGCAGACTTAACACACAGAATAAGATAACGAGAAGAACATACGTTTAATGAAGATAGTAAAATGTTTAATGAATATATGGGGGCGGAATTGTGTACACTTGAAAATGTTGGCATGATTAAGATAAATTCAGCAGTGTAAGTAAGTTTTGATGGATGTAATAATGGAATACTGAATGGTTTAGTTTGTGTAAAACATGCAGGGATTTAAGATATGAATAATGAACCATGGAAAGAGAAGAAGGGAAGTCATTGGTGGACCCTCGAGTTACGTACCGCTCAGGATACGTAACTTTTGGGTTGCGAATGCGGCAAACCCGTAAGTGTATACTTCTGGGTTTTGCTGTGCATGTGCACAGAAGCGCGCCTCCAGTTATGGACTTTTCAGGTTAAGTACGGACCCCCGGAATGAATATAGTAAATAAACACAGTAAATGGACAAAAGTACAAAGATTCATAAAATGTTTAGGGGTATGCGCACTCCTGCGTCCTTCCCATAAAAAAGCACTGTATAAAAAGACTGAACCTGGGATCTCTGAGGATGAGCTCTTGCCACTTCTTTCTCCAAGCAAGCCCATTGCTAAAAAGGAAGAGAAGCACAGCAAGACTAATAAGGATTAGACCACGTGGGAATCTCATTACCTGGAGTTTGGTCACCATTTCCTCAAACATCTTCCTGGCCTCAGAACTGTTTGGTTCCTTAAAGTAGTCCGAGATCCCAACCTGCACCACGATGGACTTCAGGTTCCGGCAAACACCTTTAAGGAAAAAGAAATGTCTTCAGCATGAAATCTGGGTTGGGAGATTTCCTCTTCTCTTGGGGGACAAAACACGCTTAAGAGGCGAAGAAAAAGGCAACCCCCCTTTCTGCTTCATGACCAAGGGGGGGGGAAGTGGGGGGATTTCTTTTTTAAAAATTTTTTAAAATAATTTTTATTAACAGGCCAATCACATCACATTACCATATCACATTAATTCCAAATTATACAGCCAAATTTTAAATTTTGTTGGGGGTACCCATACATCAAGCTCCGCTCGAGTCCAAAACAGCATCACTTATCTTACTGCTTTCATTAGACAGTTCTGTCCAGTTTGATCCGGATAGTCCTTTATTACTTCCTTTCTCTTCTTGTTGTTATCATAAATTCCTTTCTTTGTGATCTCTGATGATTTTTCACAAGCAGGTTGAAAGCTGGCATTCTATGTGGATTTTTGTACTCTTCTAAAAATCATATCGGTCAGGGACAGCCTCTGTACCACGCTTCCATACACAAGATTAGTCTCCGATCTGTCCTTTATTTTTCAAATAAATCAGATCAAATGAGTCTGGGGGCTCTGTCAGGTCAAACTTGCATCCCAACATTCCTTCTCATTCGAACAGTCCTGATTCTCCTCCCCCAGTCCTTCTTCCTCCGACAAGCCTGTCTTAGCGAGACGCCATATTTTAACTGCGTCATAAGAATTTTCCTCTTTTCTCACCATTCTCCAGTCATCTTTCCTGTTTTAATCCATCCCACATAGTTCTTAAAATCCTGCCTGTGATTCATAAAAATGCAACGATCTTGTTTCTATCTGGGGTGAAGGGTTATTAATGTCACATCATACAGAGAAAAAAATGAGTTTTTTCCTCCACCCCCCCTTCATTCCAAACATACAGTCTCCTTGTGGTAATTCATCAGAAGATTTACTTATCCGTCCGTCACTCCTGGTCGCAGAGATCCATTAATCAGCAGTCTTATCATCGAGCTTTACTTGATGTATGTGCTTTCAGCTTTATTTCCAATCGTATGTTTCCAATTATAATTCCAAGCTGAAGCAACCAGCACGCGCTAATTGGAATCGGCGTCAGGAAGAGCTGACTTCACTGAGGGCCTGTGCCAAGTGTTCGGCACCCCCATCACTCGTATCAGGGGGTGCATTGTGAACACCGCTGGCAGGACAGCACTCCCCCACATCCTGGGGGAGCTTAGGAAGGCTGCATACTTCCCATAGCAGCCCCTTAGTACCTCGTATGGGTCAGAGAGATGTTATTGTCGGCCATCTTCCAACGCGCCACCTGGTGGCCCCCCGGAAGTGGGGGGATTTCATGGCTACCAGGGGGAGACCTAGATCAGGGGTCAGCAAACTTACTGCGCCTTGGGCCGGTGTCTCTAGCGCCGATCACGCCGCGGGCCAGAGGGTGGGGCAGCGCATGCCTATACGCATGCGCACATGCTATTTCTGGCACACTTCCAGATCAGAGGAGCACCGGAAATAGCTTGTGCACATGTGCACGGGCCTCCTCTGACCTGGATGTGCACCGGAAATAACGCATGCACAAATAACGCTTGCGCATGCGCACTAGCTTTTCCGGTGCTCCTCCAATCCAGAAGTGGGCAGCCTTATCTGGCCCGCGGGCCTTAGTTTCGGGACCCCTGACCTTAAGTGTTATGTACTGAAGTTCTCACCCTGGGCCAGCAGGGGGATACTGTAGATAGTTCAGGTCCACATATGCAAATAAGGGATCGAAAGTGTCGTTCAGTGATTGGATAGTTAAAGAAAGTTGTTACTGTTGCCTTGTAGTTGAGCTCTATATAAGCAGGCTGGCTGAACCCTTCAGTTCAGTTCTGTTCTGGCCTGTGAATAAACAAGAGCTATCTGAAGAATCGCTGTGTCGTCTGATATGTTCACCCACAACTTAACACTAAGGGTGTTATTGTGCCACACTGGCGACCCCTGCAGGAGAGAAGCTGCTATTTCACCTTGAACCCTGATGATCTCCACTTTGTATGATCATGAAAGGTCAGGGTTCTAGTCCTCATGACTGTACAAAACAACCCAAAGAAGACCGGGGCATTTGCTACAACTCCAGCACCCTTATTATTTAAAGGAACATCTTTGATTGTTCTTCCCCCACCTCTGAAAAAACTAGAGGGAAAACCCTCTGCATAAATACATTTAAGGCATCGCTTATGTCATTAATTGTGGGTACCAGCTGCCAGAATTCTGCTAAATTAAATGCTAATAATCATCTGCGATATGAGCTAGTAATCACTATTTTGGAAAATTGCTAGCAGCAGCTGATACGGCTGTGCGAGAGGCGAAGTTTGCTTGAGCCACTCATATCTCTAACCGTGCTTCCTCTTTTAATTTAATAAATCGGGCCGCGAGCTTTCAATTAGCAGATAAATCCACAAAGCAGATCAATTAATAGATCCCCGAATTAGTAGATTTAATCAGTGGGGCTCAGAGTTAAGGGGATGCTTGCTAAATTTTGCATGTGCTTTGGCTCTTTCCTAGGGAAAAGAGAAGGAAAGTCATGTTATAGGTGGACATTCCTTCTGATAATGCTTATAAACTCCCACATGAAATAAAACAAAAAGAATAGGCTTATTGAGGTCTGGTAACATTTGCACTGCATTTTATTTTACCTAATTAACACAAGCAGGTCAATCAACTAAAAGGTCATTAATTGTTGGGCAGCGATGCTAATTGATTATTTGTGTAAAAAACAGTAGGGCATGTCACCTAGCAAACTTCCTGGATATCTGTAATGAAGCAGCTCTGGCAGAAAGCCAACCTCTGCTATTTTTAACAGTGAAATTCTCTATAAATACTCTATTTGGCACTTGTTCCTTCACAGCCAAGTCTTAACTGAAAAGAAAACCTGAGCTTCTCTGAAGCTTTGTACCTCTTGATGGGAGAAAAGGTGTGTGAGGAAAGTAGATTTTTCTTTTTTCCCACATATCCAGAGTCAGCAGCCAAAATAGACATAAGATCTGGAGTTGCAAGGCCTTTTTGGAGGGTGTGTGGGGGTCAATAGTAGTATTTTTTTATTTTGAGTTAGTGCTATGGGTACAAATTAAAAAATGGCTGCCATGGGGTGTGTGGCATAACACAAAATGGCTGTCGTGAGGTTTGTGGCATAACACAAAATGGCTGCCATGGGTTGTGTGGCATAATACAAAATGGCTGCCAAGGGGTGTGTGGCATAATATAAATGGCTGCCAAGGGGTATGTGGGGCATAATGCAAAATGGCTGCCATGGAGTGTGTAGCATAACACAAAATGGTTGCCATGGAGTGTGTGGCATAATACAAAATGGCTCCCATTGGGTGTGTGGCATAATATAAATGGCTGCCAAGGGGTATGTGGGGCATAATGCAAAATGGCTGCCATGGGGTGTGTGGCATAACCCTAAATAAGCAAGAAGAGCAAATAGTACCATACACTCTGGATTTTTGAGGGGATTCTACTAATAATAATACTAATACTTATACTAATACTAATATTAATACTACTAATAATTTATTATTTATACCCCGCCCATCTGGCTGGGCTTCCCCAGCCACTCTGGGCAGCTTCCAACAAAATACTGCCATACTGGTCATACTGGCTGGCACACTGGCACCCATGGGTGTCATGTTGGCAACCTCTGTGATAAAATAAAAAAAGTCACGCTGATGGCCAGGGCTCCCCCCCCCAGCTGGAACTCACTGGACCTCCATTCCGGCCCCTCTCAGGTGGGCGCCATTGCCCTTATATAAGAGAACAAGGGAGGCGTTCCTGGTGAATTCTGGCACCTCTTTTTCTGGAAAAGTCACATTGCTAATGGCTCACCTAGTCCAGCGCCTTCCTCTCACAGTGGCCAGCAGATGCCCCTTTTGGGAAGCCCACAAGCCGCACCTGAGCGCAACGCCGCTGGCCCTGCCTGCCATTCCCCATGGTGGGAGATTTCCCCACAAAACCAGCTCCTGGTACAGAGAGGCTTCCAAAAATGGAGTCAGAACGTAGCTATCATGGCTCATCGCCACTTGATCTCATCTTCTCTTAAAGCCATCTGAGTTAAGGAACTGTGTGGATATGCATGGGCTCCAATCCAGATTAGGACCCTCTGCAGCATACCCATGAATCCCTCCCAAAAAGTTTTTTTTATTTAAAATGAAAGTGCCTTTATTTCTCTTTTTTAATTTTTTTGAAAAAGTAATAATCGTAAATAGATAAGAATAAAAATGTGCAACCCACCACCGAGACCATTCCATTGCAACTATCCAACCTCCCAAAATTTCAACACCTCTTGCGATGGTTTGACCCCTTTCCATTTTAAGAGTATAAATTCTACGAACACTCTCCATATCTCCTCAAAATCAATTCTCCTGCATATTCCTTGTCTTACCTTAATGACACATGTTGCTTTATAATTAATGGCTATATCCCACACCTCTTTATACCATTCTTCCGTTTTATATTCTGCTTGCCCCTTCCACTTCTGAGCTACAATAATTTGTGCAGCTGTCAATAAATTTGTGAGCAAGTCCTTCAGATGGGTGGGGTATAAATAACAAAATAATAATAATAATAATAATAATAATAATAATAATAATAATAATTACTATTGCCTGCAAACCTTGCACCTTATTGTAAATTGAGAATAGGGCTACCTCTGGACTTTCGGTCAGCTTTAATCCAGTGATTTCTGTTATCTCCTTAAACACCCTTGGCCAAAAAATTTGCAAATATTTACACCCCCACCACATGTGAACATAATTCCCTGTTTCCTGGTGTCCCCCCCCCCCGAAAAAAAAAGTTTGGAGGAAGCCATGACAGTTAAGCCATGACAGTTAAGCCACTACAAAACTGATATGTCCTCACAGTAGAGACGGTTCTTCTGAGTCTCTTCCAGCCACCCAAAAAAACACAGGAGAACCTTTGCTGCCCCAACAATGACCGGCCAGTTGGGTTTCCAGGGATCTTATCACTGAGCCCCAACATATGAAGGTCTTGCAGGATCAGGCCCATTTGGTCCAGCATCCTCTTCTCACCATGGCCAACTGGACTAGAACCTTCCAGAGGTCCCATCCCATCTTTCGTTGGCTGTCTCCCCCACTTCCTAGGTGTCATCCTAGGTCCAGGAACGTGGCAGGAACCCTCCTGCAGCCCACCTGCCCTGTGGCTTCACTTTTTTGGGGGGTTGGTGGTTTCCCACTCACTGTTGAAATGCAGCAAGGCTTTGGGTGTGACCGGGGTGGATGTCAAGACCAGCATCTCCAGCCCCTTCAGGCCTTCCCGACACACCTCGGCTGCCACTTCCTGGTTCACCTCCGTCACGTGGTCCAGCTCCAACACTTGCAGCCGCATGCAGTTCCGGGCTGAGGAGAAAGACAGGCGTTTGGGGATCAGCCAGGATTTGCACGGCCGTCATATTCTATATATTAGATAGATAGATAGATAAGATAGATAGATAGATAGATAGATAGATAGATAGATAGATAGATAGATGATATAGATAGATAGATGGATAGATAGATAATAGATAGATGATATAGACAGAGAGATAGATATAGATATAGATGGGGACGCGGGTGGCGCTGTGGGTTAAACCACAGAGCCTAGGGCTTGCCAATCAGAAGGTCGGCAGTTTGAATCCCCGTGACGGGGTGAGCTCCCATTGCTCGGTCCCTGCTCCTGCCATCCTTTGAGTTTAAAATCACGTCAAAGTGCAAGTATATAAATAGGTACCGCTCCAGCAGGAAGGTAAACGGTGTTTCCGTGTGCTGCTCTGGTTTGCCAGAAGCGGCTTGGTCATGCTGGCCACATGACCCAGAAGCTGTACGCCGGCTCCCTTGGCCAGTAAAGCGAGATGAGCACTGCAACTCCAGAGTTGGCCATGACTGGACCTAATGGTCAGGGGTCCCTTTACCTTTATAGATATAGATAGATGATAGATGATAGATAGATGGATAGATGGATAGATGGATAGATGGATATATAGGCAGACAGACAGACAGATATAAAGGTAAAGGACCCTGGAATGTTAAGTCCAGACTCTGGGGTTGTGGCGCTCATCTTGCTTTCAGGCTGAGGGAGTCAGCATTTGTCCACAGACAGCTTCCCGGGTCGTGTGACCAGCATGAATAAACTGCTTCTGGCGCAACGAAACACCATGATGGAAACCAGAGCGCACGGAAACGCCATTTACTTTCCTGTTGCAGCAGTACCTATTTATCTACTTGCACAGGTGTGCTTTTGAACTGCTAGGTTGGCAGGAGCTGGGACAGAGCAACAGGAGCTCACCCTGTCGCGGGGATTCAAACTTCTGACCTTCTGATCGGCATGCCCAAGAGGCTTGGAAGGTGAATGGCGTTTCTGTGTGCTGCTCTGGTTTCGCCAGAAGTGGCTTAGTTATGCTGGCCACATGACCCGGAAAAACTGTCTGCAGACAAACGTCGGCTCCCTCGGCCAGTAAAGCGAGATGAGCGCTGCAACCCCAGAGTCGTTCACAACTGGACTTAACTGTCAGGGGTCCTTTACCTTTACCTAGAATATTTATGGCTTCTTATTCCGGTGGTCATGCCTGAAAGAAAGCAAACACACCCTCTTGGCATCGCCACCGCCATCACATTCCCAGAATGCAAAGCGTTCGCTGTTCTGCCCCTGGCTTTCTGCCCCCTAGAAGCCCATTTCACAGACAGAGAGCCTGAGGCGAGATTTACCTAAGGAAGCCAATCCTTGCACTCCGCAACCTGCTCCGCCGACACCCAGCGCCCTCAAATGTGGCCAACACCGCCCAATCATCTGCAGGCAGCGGTTACTGAAGCGGGTTGGTTGCTGGCTGGAAGGGAATTTTTTATTTTTTGGAGGGGGGAAAAAAAAGAAGAAGGAGAAGGAGAAGAAGAAGAAAAAAAATGCAGACGAGAAGCTGATCAAAGCATTCCAATTTGCATAATGTCATTAACAGGCACAAATTAGGAGAAGAATGTGTCATCTGCCTTGGCTTATGGGAGTTCTGTGCAGTGAAAATAGATGTAATTTAGCTCCAGTTGTTTCCCAGCCCCCCTGAGTAACAAGCAAAGAGAGAAGGCATTTTTAGAAACTTGTTTTATCGCACGTCGGAGAGAGAGAACTAAAGGCAGTGGATGCAAATTCATATCTTGTATTGTGCTGGATTTCCCCCCCTTTGCATAACAATAAAAAATAAACCCCAAACTGGCACCGGTCTTGAGACTCACTTCTCTCTTTTTGTCACATATCATTCCATTGTTGCCTCTCCGTTCTTTACCCTCGTGGAACCGTGGAGCTGTAAGCGATCCCAGGGGCCATCTAGTCCAGCCCCCTGCAAAGCCAGGAATCGCAACTAAAACACAACGACGACACCAGGGCAGCTTTGTTCGTCCCAAACCCCATCCAGGAACCACTTCCCATTAAAGATCTCGAAGCAATTTCACAGTGGAGACATCAGCAATAAAAACAACAACTCCACGCTTCAAAACCATTCCGCAAGCGATTAAGGACAGCTTGCATATTAAAAATACATTTCGTATGTAAGGACAATTTCAAGTCCCGTATGGATACAGATCTCTACTTAAAAGGCTTGTTGGGAAAGGAGGGTCTTCGATGGGTGTTTAAAAGGTGATGTGGAGCTTGTCAACACTCCCCCCCCCCGGAGAAACCAATTCTTTGGCGATAAATTGGAACAAACAGCAGTCCACAGAACACCTGATTGCCTTCTGCTCTGATAAAACACCAAATTTGGGTTTCCTAGAGGGGAGGTGGCACAGACCCTCCTGCACCCGAGGGAGGGAAATTGGGACACGACCTCGAAAGAGACCACGCCCCCTCTCACTCATGCCCCGCCCCCTCTGGGCTCCCTCCCTCCCTCGCACTTTTGCCCACTGCCATGGCAGCGGCTGCAGTCTCCAACTCCGACCCCGCCGCATCCCCATATGTACTTCCAGAAGCCAGCACTGCTTCTAGCGCCGATGTGCAGGGACAAGGCAAAGTTTCACTTCCATTTTTTTTTGCTCCTGTGCTGTGGTTCCCAGCTCCTGGTAAGCAGGGGCATTTCTCGCCTCTGACAGCGGAGGTACCAAGTGGATTCTCACCCTTGCGGTGAAATATATCTACAGTGGTACCTCTGGTTGCAAACGGGATCCGTTCCGGAGGCCCGTTCGCAACATGAGCAGAACGCAACCTGCGTCTCTGTGTCTGTGCGGGTTGCGATTCGCCGCTTCTGCGCATGATGTCATTTTGCGCGTCTGTGCATGGGCGAGCGGCGAATCCCGGAAGTAACCCTTTCTGGTACTTCCGGATTGCCGCGGGATGCAACCTGAATACGTTCAACCTGAAGCAAACGTAACATGAGGTATGACTGTATTTTACTTATTTCTAGAAGGCCTGTGGTCTCCATTGTTGACCCTACATCATGTGTCGGCAAACTGAGGCTCATGGGCCGGATCAGGCCCAATTGCCTTCTGGATCCAGCCCACGGAAGGTCCAGGAATCGCTGCGTGGATCGCCAGTGCACACGTTCTTACCCTCTCCCTCATACGGTAGCGGAGCCGGCGCCTCCTCCCTCCCTCCCTCCTTCCTTCTGGCCTTTCCTTGCCTTGTCTAGAGGAGGAAGGGCAAGCTGTGAAGCTTTGTGTATTCAGCAAATATGATGTCCAACACTGAACAGTGATTCTGGATATTTACTACTGTTTCATAGAATTCTTCGTCAGCATGGTGGGAGGATACAGAATTGCTTCATATGTCCATCTTATTTCAAATGAATGTATGTAAATGAATATATCAACTACAGCAGTGACTACATTATTACACGAGCACCGTTCCACAGCATTTGATATTTTCATTTACATACATACATTTGAAATAAGATGGGCTTATGAAGCAATTCTGTATCCTCCCACCACGCCAATGAAGAATTCTACGAAACAGTAGTCAATATCCAGAATCACTGTTCAGTGTTGGACATCATATTTGCTGAATACACAAAGCTTCACAGCTTGTCTTTCATCGTACAAAGTCTGGTGGTCCCTCGCTTCATTTATAGATTTTCAGAGACTTTGAGACTAAAGATTTCATTTTGGACTTGTTATGGTTTGAAGGAATTCTATAAAGATTGTCTATTGTGTATGTACGTGGTCATTGTGTTGCCTAGACACTGATGACGTTCTCTTTGCAACACAGGGGTTGTTTGGTTTGGTTACTTAGAGGAGGAAGGGGGCTGGGCCTTGTTCACGCCAGCAGCAGCAGTGCTTGAGGGGCCGCCATTTTAAGCAGCCCCTCTCCGGAGCCCTTTTGTGCGCCGCTCATCGTCCCGCCACCACCAGCCCCTGTCGTTCGCAAAGCACAGGTAAGCAAGCCACTGGGGTTCGTGGTGCTCTTGCATCATTTTTGCTCCCAAAATATAGTCTGGCCCCCCACAAAGTCTGAGGGACAGTGGAGCAGCCTTTAGCTTAAAACAAATAAACCACAAGGCCCTGCAACTAAGCACACCATTGCGAGACCTGAAAACAAAATTCTTTGCCGCATCTAGGGACTCAGCTACATTAGTGAAGAAACAGCGATTTGAATGCGCTATAAACATGCAACACCAGATGGCGCCAGAGAGCAGGAAATTTTAAAACATGATTTTCCATAGAGATTTTTTCCCTTTTTGTTATAATCTAATTTCTGATTTATAGTGGTTTTTCACCTGTGTCTAGATCCATTCCAGTTGCACTCTGAGAGGTGTTTTTGAAAAGTTTCACATCAGCTACGGCGGTGTGTGTGTGTGTGTGTGAGTCTGACTGCTGCCGCAGTGCTGGGAACCCTCCCTGCACACACAATTTCGTCCATGAAAATTGCCCTGCAGGTGTTGCTATTTCCATGCGTGTGTGTGTGTGTGTGCACATGCATGGAGGAAAGAGAGGAAAATACTGGCAAAGGTGCCAGGGTATTAAATGCATGCTCCGGCATTCTTACCAAGGGTGCAGCGGCGCCACCTGTAAGGAGATGATGTCTCGACAGCCTGCTCCCAGTGCCCAGATAACCTCATGGCCCACGGGGTCAGTGGAACTCCTGCAACGAAGAAATGGGAAGGTGGAAAGAGATGAACAACTCCATAGGAGCAGATGAGCGTCAAATTGCATCTGATCCACCCTTTCCCGTAACTCAGGTGTTCTTTAGATTTCTCCAAAATGGCATCCTTTGGCAGGTGGATTCTGCAACAGGGCGTTGATGAAAATAGAAGTATAGCCAAACGAAGAAGTACTGGAGAACGTGGATTGTGTTTCATGTGAATTAGCAGGAGGATGATTTAGATTTAGGATTTAGCAAGGCGAGTGAAAATTATTGATTGATTGATTGATTGATTGATTGGGGTGGAGCGTCTCCACCCCCATCGTTCAGCCTGGACAATGAGGTCCTCCTCTGAGGGCCTTCTGACGATTCCCTCATTGCGAGAAGTGAAGTTACAGGGAACCAGACAGAGGGCCTTCTCGGTGGTGGCGCCCACCCTGTGGAACACCCTCCCATCTGATGTCAAGGAAATAAACAACTATCTGACTTTTAGAAGACATCTGAAAGCAGCCCTGTTTAGGGAAGTTTTTAATGTTTGATGTTTTATTGTGTTTTTAATATTCTGTTGGGGAAATCCAGCCAAATGGGTGTGGTATAAATAATAAGTTGTTGTTGTTGTTGTTAACTAGCCTGGAAGGAGCACAAAGTGTTCCCTGCCACAGGTACTGCTCTTATGACATCATCATCATCATCATCATCATCATTATTATACAGCGCCAATAATGACCATTGCCAGGACATGGAAATCATTGCAATTATTGAGCATGGTGCAATCCCACAGGTAGCATTATTGGGGAAAAATTGATGTGAAAATTGAAGGTAGCAAGAAATATTATAACTTTACATAGTCTGGGGTGACTTTATAGATTATACAAACAACGAAGCATGTGCTAGAACAGTGCCTACGGTCTACAGCTCAGTTTGGCGGACAGGGAACAGATATTTTAAATCAAATCCCCCCCCCCATTCCTCCTGCCTGTGTATAAAACCCTGCAGACCAGAACTGCCACTGATATGATATGCCTCTTCCTTTGTGTCCAAGAGTCCAAGCAACGGATGTTGCCATGCATTATTTCACGTTCGTTAATATTGCGATGGTTTTAGCATACAAAGTTTAACAAATTTCTGCTGGTGTACTCGGAGACGACTCTCTGATTGTTGGTTGTTGTTTTATTTTCGATTTTAATTTTCTGTAGCTGTTACGTGTGGTTAAAAATTTAATTAAAAAACAAACCCAATTCCATGAAATTCATACACCACTTGATTGTTTAAAAAACACACAAAAAACCTGAAATGGTAAAAAAAATGGATTTGGGCCCATACGCCCTCTTTTTCCAGGACATGCCCTCTTTTTCAGGGGTAAAATTTTGGTGCAGGAGGATTTTTTGAATTTACCAAAATGTCAGGGGGGGTATGGAAGTGGGCTACTTTTTATGTTACTAGACAACCAAGTGACAAACATATGTATCTGAAGAAATGTGCATGCACACGAAAGCTCATACCAATAACAAACTTAGTTGGCCTCTAAGGTGCTATTGGAAGGAATTTTTTCATTTTGTTTAAACATATACATAGTTTTGCACGATGCAGGAAAGGATCAGGTCCTTGTTTTTGTACATTTTGATTTTTTTAAAAAATTCATTTTTATTAAATTTTCCACTTTAACAATCCAATCAAATCACATTAAATATTCCAAATTATACATATACATATCATATAATCCATGACTATGAAAAGCAGTAGAGATATGAGATGATCCCTCCTGTTATGTACTGAAGTTCTCACCCTGGGCCAGCAAGGGGATACTGTAGATAGTTATGCAAATGTAGGATCGAAAGTGACGTTCAGTGATTGGATAGTTTTAGCAGGGGGATACTGTAGATAGTTATGCAAATGAAGGATCGAAAGTGACGTTCAGTGATTGGATAGTTTTAGCAGGGGGATACTGTAGATAGTTATGCAAATGAAGGATCGAAAGTGACGTTCAGTGATTGGATAGTTTTAGAATGTTGCTACAGTAACGTTGTACGGGAGCTCTATATAAGCAGGCTGACTGAGCCCTTCAGTTCAGTTCTGTTCTGGCCTCTGAATAAAGAAGAGCTGTTTGAAGAATCGCTGTGTTGTCTGATATGTTCACCCACAACTTAACACCTCTGAACTTGAAGCATGGGAAGTCCTATTAAAAAAATTATAATTTGGCAGAATATCTGGATTGTTTTTGTACATTTTGAAGGGACATTGTAGCGTTCGCCTGCTCCCACACCCCTTCCCTCCCGCCCCAGGCGCTGGCAAACGTGTCCTCTTTTTTGCTCTACAAAATATGGCAACTCTGACCTAGGGTGAAGATGCCATTTGGTTTTCCGATCTGAAAAACATCTCAGGCTCAGATGGTATTATTACACCAGTGAAATTAGCGAAAATGAATAAGACAAATAATAAATGTTGGAAATGTAAAGAAAAAGAAGGAACATTTTATCATATGTGGTGGGAATGTAAGAAAGTAAAGAACTTCTGGGAAATGATATATAATGGGATGAAAAAGATGTTGAAATATACATTCTTTAAAAAACCAGAAGCATTTTTACTTGGTTTTATAGGCCAAGACATTAATAGACAAGATGTTAAATTGTTTTTAAACGCAACAACAGCGGCAAGAGTATTGTTAGCCCAGAAATGGAAGCAAGAGGAAATTCCGACGGAAGAAGAATGGCAGACGAAATTAATGGACTATGCAGAATTGGACAAAATGACAGGAAGGATTCGAAACCTGCGGGACCAGAGATTTACAGAAGATTGGAAGAAGTATGTCAGGGAACTGCCATCAGTGCCGGAGGGAGAGAGAGAACTCCAGAGGGATCCCAGAGAGTATCCCAGGATTGGGAGAGGCAGCCCATCTTCTGGGGAAGGGAATCAGCTTAGCTCCAGTGGAGAAGGGGGGCAGATGGGGGAATCAGAGAGGCGGTCACATGACTCCTTGCCGGGGACCAGCAGGGAGAGGAAGGGTCCTCCGCTGCCTACGCCCTCCTTGCGCAGGAGGCTTCCGCGCAGGGAGAGTAGGAGGAGACTGGGCGTCAAAGATCTTCTTTGCTGGAAGAAGTTTCAGAAACGCCCACTGATGGATTCTGCCAGCGATTGAGACAGCCACGGGTGAGTGGCTGTCCGGACAGGAAAGGTTCACTCAGGCAACCCAGCCAGGTGTTGGCACAGGCTTACGCACGAGCAACCCCTAGAACCATTACAAAGTATATGAATTATTTGAAGAGCAACTGTAATCAACAAATTACGCTAGTAGCACTGCAAGAAGTTTTGTAAGGAGAAATATACGAAGTGTTACAAAGTAGGAAAAGATAGAGATATTGGTTATGAGTTTGAAATGTAAAAGGGAAGATAAGAAATGCATACTGAGAGATTAGATTGGAAAATTTTCAGACAGGATTGATGGAAGTAAAAAAAAATTGAGTAAGATGTAAAAGTATGTTTAATTACTGTTGAAAATAATATGTTATATATATATATATAACATCTCAGGCTCGTCCCTCTTCTGGGTGGAAGGGGCAAAAGGGGAGGCCCAGGCCAAGCCCCCGGGGTGAGAATTACCTGGTGGCACCGCTCTGCCTAAAAGGTAAGCTCTGCTGTTTTCTAATTTGTGAATGACCTACTTCTACGCTTCGGTTGAGCCTAAAAATAAGCAGAATCATATTATCTGGAACGCTCATCCATCTCCCAGGAAGCTGCCTGCCAAGGCGCCCTGACCGGCTTGGCTTGCCGTTAATTAAAACACGTGGGCAGGATGCTGAGCTGCCAAGCAGGAGCTGCCCAGGTGGGCCTGATCCTGCCGGGTGGAAGGGGATGAACGAGGGAAGAAGGGAAGGAAGGAAGCGACGGCAATGAGAGAGAGAACCTGGAGACAGAGAAATAGCAAAAGCTGCCTTGTGCCAATGAATTGATTTTAGATTGCTGTGTTACATTTATTGTTGTTAGCCGCTCTGAGCCCGGCTTCGGATGGGGAGGGCGGGATATAAATAAAATTTTATTATTATTGTTATGCCCCCTCCAGCCCAGCATCCTGCTCTCATAATGGCCAACCAGATGACTCAATGGGAATCCCGCAAGCAGGATTCGAACACAAGACCAATCTCCCTTCCTGTGGTTTCCAGCAACTGGGATTCAGAAATCTCCAACTGTGGAGGGCAGAGCGTAGCCATAATACTAACAGCCATCAGCAGCCCTCTCCTCCCCTTTTAAATGGTCGCCATCACAGTCTCCTGTGGGAGGGAGTTCCACAGGTTAAATGTGGAAGATAGTACTTTCCTTTTTCTAACCTTAATCCTCCAGCATTCGCCTCCGCTGGATGTTCATTGGCATTCTAGCGTTACGAGAGGGAGGGAAACGTTTTTCTATCGGCTTTCTTCTTATCCTGCCAGCTCGTATGCGTGCCTTTTCTCTAAACTAGGCCGAGTAGCCTCCTACGGGCTGAGTAGCAGCAGTCTTGGGAGGTGGACTGGGGCTGGAAAAGTCACAGCAAAAGCTGCTGTTCCTGGAGCAATAAAGTGGATATCAAGAACTGACCGCTGGTGGTTTTGCAGGATTCGTTGCCAGCAGCGAAAGCCAGATCGGGTTCAACAGCACTGTCTCAGCTGGGAAGGATATGCATGGAATAGCAGGCAGAGCAAATGTCAGCCGAGCACTTTTTCTGTGCCCATGCAATCTGCCGCAGAAAATCATCCAAATGAAGGAGAGGAGGAAGACCCCCACGATCGTCTGCACGCCTATCACTGTATGAGTCCATCTGCCTTGAATTTCTTTCATGATTAAATCTAGCATCTTTTCACAGCGATTTTGTTTCGCTGCATCCCCTGCCCCATTCACAAGAGACTTGTTGCTGATTGTGCCTGCTGGTCCAACCCCGATGCAATGTAGGTATCACAACACTCCATCCATTTTGAACCTGGACCCCGCTTAGCTTTGCAAAATGTGGCAGCAGTTTTATTAGGCAGAAA